AACCCTAAACCCTAAACTTTGGGATGCTGATGCATGGCATGTTCTCCACAGCAGAAGCTCGGCCAAGCTGCCAGAAAAAAACTCTTACTTTCACACGCCCCAAACCGCCGACGCAGGGTCGAGGTTGATCCTTGGGTTCAGGGTTTAAGGGTTTGGGGTTTAGGGTTCAGAATTCAGGGTTTAAGGGTTTAGGGTTTGGTTTTTAGGGTTTAGGTTGTGCGAACTGGGAGTTAGACTACGGGGTAAGCGAGGCGAATCTATTATACAGGGTTATATTCTCTTATCCCTACAAACCACCAGTAAGGAAAGTTGTCGCCATAACTGCATTTGGCCACCTTTCAAAACAGTTGCCAGTTGCCATGTCACTGGGGATGCTATCGTGAGTTGGCAAGGCCAAGGAGAATTCACCGCAGAGATTCTACAGTATTGGGGTAGCAACCCCAAACCCTCAAACCATATGAGTCACAGTCTAAACTCTTAGTATCCACCTTAATAGCCCCTATAGTCGTCCGTATTTACCTAAAGCAACCCTTAAGGAGTTTAGACTACAATTTATACAAGTCATGTGTACATCCAAGAAACCCCTAAACCCTAAGCCCCTAAGCCCCTAAACCCTAAGCCCTAAACCCCTAAACCCTAAACCACAAAAGTAGGCAAAGCATCTTAGAACTCCCTGCAGTCATCTGCAGCAGCATGTTGAGATGGGCAGCACTGGTTTCCTGGATAGCCTCCAAACTCTTCAGCCTTCGTGCTAAGGAGCATTAGGGCTTGGGGTTCAAAGTAGATAGGTAAGAACAACATACTGTGTATATATATAATATGTTGAAATATAAAATCATATGTCAAGATAATCTATATATATGTAATATGTGTATATATATACACGTAAAAATGACATATGCATCTGTATCACGCATGATGCACGCAAATGCAGTCTTCATCCAGTCTGGGCTGTAGATACTGAAAAACATACCAACCTACAGGCATGAATGCATGCATTTAGCACTTAGGTTTGGGGTTTACAGTTTAGAGAAAGTTAACCCTAAACCCTAAAACCCTAAACCCCTAAACCCTAGGTTTAGGGCTTAGGATTCCGCCATAGGCTGCCGAGAGGCTGGTCCCGCATCTTGTCCTGCCTTGGCAAGCTGCTTAGGGTTTAGGGTTTAGGGTTTAGGGCCCCCCCCAACCTTTTGATTTCTGTATCGTGGAATATAATTATAACAGGAACCTATGATAGTCCTTATTGTCCCTTACGGTCGCCATCACTGGGTGGGGGGTCCACCCAACAAATCGATAAATATCAACAAAAGCAGTACAAGCAATGTTGACTATCAAAAACAATAGCTTCTCCATTGCAATATGTTAGGCATATGAACCATAGAACATATGAATATTACTATAAAACTAGAAAGCACGATTTCTGCCAAGGCCTCCTGTGATGCCCCACCGCGACTCTATTTTAGGCAATCAAACTTGCAGGCCTGGGGTTTAGGTTTGAGGGTTTAGGGTTGAGGGCTTGGGGTTTAGGATCCCATTGAAATTTATGTGGTCTGTCGAACGACCCGCTAGCCCTCAGAACGCCGGAAGGAAAACCACAAGACGTCTCCAAGCACAACTTCGGACAAAGCAAATTGGACGGTAACCCGGATGCCATTACATTTCTCATTTCTTTTCACATGTTCTTCATTTTGGGGGACAATAACCCTATATATCCCCATATACCCCCATGTAGCCCCCATGCCCTTTATTAACCCATTTGAAATTTGAGCCAAGCGCTGGGACTTCAGCGCGTAGAGGTCAACCGACCTAGCAGGCCCATGCAACTGCCGACATCTCCTTGGACGCTTGGAACCCGGTCTAGGGAAAAGGGTTTAGGGGAAAGGGTTTAGGGTTTATAGTAAAGGGTCTAGGGTAAAGAGTTTAGGGTAAAGGGTTTTGAGCAAAGGACTCAGGGTTTAGGGTACAGGGCTTAGGGCTAAGAGTCCCGGAATGAAGCCGTCGCAAAAACATCACGCACCAAAGCAGCATCCCAGACATACTTGCAGGATTCTAATCCCCCTTAAGTAGATAGAATATGGAGACCCAAAGCCATATTCTATCGACTTTAGGGGCACTATAACCACGTGACAGGTCTTTCTTTCAGGCGTGGTGGAATGCCCATGGCTTTAGGCGAGTTTCTGCGAGAACTCTTCATAGCTCACCTTGGGCAGACGCTTCCAAATGCTTTGCAACATAACAGGACCTGTGGCATCGGACAGTCTTGGCTCATCACTACTTACTTCGGAGGCATGCTTATGAGTCAAGTACAATGCCTTAAACCCTACACCCTAAACCCCCTAACCTAAGCCTGTCACAGTCTCTCCTGATCATTAGCCCAGCTGTGGTAGCAAACTTGGAATCCTGGCTGTTGCTGATCATAACTAATTAACTAATTGGCTCATGCATGTCAGCAGTCAAGGCTTGACCGGCTTGACCTGGCGTCTTCAGAGGCTTCGACTTACAACCTATCCCAGACCCCTGGGAGGATCTAAAAATTAGATCCCCTATATAGACTCATTGTAGCCACTATATAATCCTTATATAATTTCCCATATGGTTCTAGGGGATCTAACTCTTACATCCCTTTGGGGGTCTGGGATGGTTCTAGCAGAGTTGAGACCTAAGTACGAAGAGTGTTCTCCCACTGCCCCAGGCGCCAAATGGTCACGGTCAGCATCGAGGCTATCAAAAAGAGTCCAGGCCTCCGTCGCCAAAGCTGACCGCGCCAAAATAGGGGGACCCCAATACAGTCCCCTAAACCCTAAACCCTCAAAAGTTAGTCCTTATTATAGGGATTTGCAAGACTTGCAGTCGGACTGAATCAACTGCCCTCTGGATCACGTCGCTAGGAGAGAGCTGCATCATGTGCGGACTAGACTCGTCCACAGCATTGATTTCGATGGCATCAAAGAAAGCCATCATATCCTACAATGGGTGCAAGTGGGAGAAGTTCCAGAGACTCAAAAAGCCGATCACTCAAGGGACATCCCTGTTGATCCCGGTTTACTAGCACACTTGCTCCGCGTACTGCAACGTTGCTGCGCTATACTTTTGCAACGCTCCTGCTGTGACCTCCGCTACTCACCTCCCGCTTCTACCAATTGCCAATGACCAACACCCCACACCCACGCCCGCAACCCCCAGTACAAGAGAGTTCTTGGCTTTCTTCGGGACATGTCCCCCCCTGAACCACTCAACCCCTAAATCCTCAATTTTGGGAACCTACCCATACTCAAAGGGCTCCTCATCCTTGAAGATGCCTTCGAACTCCGAAATGGTCAACTGGCCGAGGCCACTGACATCGATCTTCTTCCACACTTTGCTCACCAGATCTTTGAAACGCTGGGTGTTTTGCCTTGATGGCTTTTTTTTTTACAGGTCTATGGTTTAGGGAAAGGATTTTGGGTAGGTTGGGTGTTTTGCCTTGATGGCTACAATGCGAGGATTTTGGCGTCCAAGGGTTCGGGTTTAGGGTTCAGGGCTTGAGGTTTAGGAAGAGGATTTTGGGTAGTCTTCAAAATAAAGGGACCCCAATATGGACCCTAATATGCTGTAATCCTTATTATGGGAACCTCAGACAGGCATCGTCACTACACTAATAAAGATAAGGATATGTCTACAAATAGTGCAAGTAATTATTACAATAATGAGAATAATAATGATAGTTGTAAGGATACTAATAAGAAGAAGAGTCATTCGTAGTATCATTGCCAAGCTGCAGCATGGTCTCGTGGTCCTTCTCCCTGGTCTTTATGGCACTGTTCACCTCAGTGCTCCAGGGGCGCAAAGAACTTGCAAGAGATAGGGGGTTCCCAAAATTAGGGGTACCTTTTTGGGGTTCCCAGAACGAGGATAATGGTATATTGTGGTCTATATTGGGGTCGCCCTATTCTGGGAAACTACACTGTAAACCCTAAATATTTTCTTATATATACATAAACACATATATACATATAAATAGAAATAAGAGCTTCCGTTGCAGTTTCCATCTTCTTTTCCATGTAATTCTCCATGATTGGTGCATTATATCCCCAAACCCGAAACCCTAAGTAGTATCCCAAACTGTCAACTCTAGACCAATTGAATAGTGTTTTTTTGGTGGTTGAACCTAGTAAGATAATATTCCTTATATAAAATACTCTACCCCAAAAGGAGGATAGAATCTTACTCTATATTGGGACCATAGTATCCCCAAATAGAATACTACTCAATTGAAGATAAGCTTCGAAGACTCCCGTCATCACATTTAGCACCTTACAGCCAACTGGGTTGATTCGGGTTTGGGGCTAGGGGTTTAGGGTTGAGGGTTTTAGGGCCTAAGGTTTAGGATTCAGGGTTTAGGGTTCAGGATTTAGGGTTTTAGGGTTTTAGGGTTCAGGATGAAGATAAGGCGCTGCAAAGCCACAGAAGGCAATGTAGAGGTTGAACAGCTGCACCCAAAGCTGGCCAAGAGGTGTCAACGCATCGGCCGCGACGTTCCAGTCCATGCCGGCCAAGATTGAACGGAACAACGTAGTGCAAGATGCATAAACACTGCCAAAGTGCTCATCCATGGCGGCATCAGGCCCATTTCTGAACATGTGATCTTGGCTAGCATCTGTGAAAAGTATGCCAAAGCTGTAGATTACCAGAGTCAGCAAAACCAACGCCCAAATAAGCTGACGAGTGGTGTCTATCACTGACATCACAAGTGCACGTAGCGCCCCTATGAAGCGGACAATTCTCAATGACCGAACCACTTGGAGAAGCCTGGTGATCTTGAAGACGCGGATGATACGGAAGTTGCTGGTTCCCGTACCTTCGGTGCCCCCTCGCATTGCAAAGTCCATTGCAAGCTCGACCCACGCAGGGATGACCACCACCACATCCAGCCAATTCCATGCCCAGCTTTGGCCGAAGAAGTAAGCACTGGGGCCAGCAGCAGTAACCCGGATGCTCATCTCCACTGTGAACAATACCTTAGTCATAGTCCACATTACCCTAGGAAGAGAAAAGGTTCGGTCTGTGCGGTACCAACCACCCCCCACTATTGGGTTGGTGGTTGCTGTTCAAATAGGATCCTTTTTGCACAAAAAATGAGGAATCCCAGACCCCAAAAAAAGTATAAAGCATCCCTAACATTGATCCAGATACAGCGTAGATCAGGTGTGCAACTAGGAAAGCTGGCTCCACAAACTTGTCCACTTTGAGAGCACTCCACTCAAGCTGCATCCCAAGAAACACGGAATTGGAGAAGATAACAAATGCGAAAAACCTGGGTTGCTGTTAAGGAACTTAAAATACGCTACTATTTTGAGGAAACTCTATTAATCACTATATATATACCCATTATGGTAACCCTACACCCTAAATAGTAGTTTCCATTTTCTTTTTCATTATTATGGTAACCTAAATTGAGTTCCTTAACAGCAATCCAGAAACACATTGAAGATAATTGAATCCGCCAAGACGGCTGCTTTCTGCTGTACCGTTGCCAACGCTTTTGCGAGTCGACCCTGTGGCTTCTTGGTGACTTGGCTTGACGACATCCTGAGTTGCTGTTAAGGAATGGGTGTAGGGTTTAAGGTTCAGGGCTCAGGGTTTAGGGTTGCTATAGCAAGGAAAGCTCATGATTGACTATATACCATATTATGGTGACCCTAAACCCTAGACATTACACCCCAAAATACCGTAAGCCCTAATCTGGTATCCTAAAATGGTACCTGAAAGAAGCCCTAAACCCTAAACCCCAAACCATTAAAGGTCCCTAACAGCAGCCCAGCATCAGCTGCTTGAAAGACTCCATTCGCCAGCCTTGTTCCTTGGCCTCTGCATACTCCTGGGCTGCTACAGTATCTAGGGCTAATATGGGATTTAGGGTTTAGCGTTTAGGATTTGGGGTTTAGGGTTTTGGGATATTATCCCCATATGATGGACAGTCAAATGGAAAAGAAATGGAAAACCAAATGGAAGCTGGGGTAATATAGGGACTTAGGGAACTCAACTCTAGTTACCATGTTATGGGGTATATAGGGTTTAGGGTTTAGGGTACCATACTACGAGTAGATAATATATACTGGGGTTTCCTTATTGTAGAAACTGAATTAAATTCCCTAACAGCCACCCAGACTCGTCTGAGATAGTGTGCCCGGTCATGTTTCGGGAGGACATGCTCTTTGGCACGGAGGGTGGTAGCTCCGCCACCGTGGGGAGAGAGACGTTAACCTGCGTCGCTGCTAAGGAACTTATATGACGTAAGTTACTACAATAAGGAAACCGTGTATTACTATGTACCAATACTATGGTAACCCTAAACCCTATATACCCCAAAATATGGCAACCTTGACAGCCATTAGGGTAACCCTGCAGCCTATATACCCCATAATCTTAACAGCAAGCCGTCAGCCCTAAACCCTTAAACCCTTAAACCCTAAACCCCTAAACCCTAAACCCCTAACCCTCAACCCTTTCCAGTCACTGAGAGCAGTGAGGCTTGCTTTGCCATCTCGTCTTGGGCTCCCTCAGCAGAAGCGAGGGCTGCTGATGTTCTTGCCTTGTAACATGAGCTACAGGGTTTAGGGTTTAGGCCATTAGGTTTAGGGCTTAGGGATAGTCTTAACGCACGGGGGCTTATATAGGGCTTAGGGTTTAGACTCCTTGGAGGTGGGTTATATGGGGGATTATATGATTACTATGAAGTATGGTGTTATTCATGGGGATACTCGTTTCTGACTATAGCGCACATGTACATGCCACTGCTGGACTTAGAGAAATACGCTTTGCAAATCAAACGGATCTTTGACCTGGGCCTATTCAAGACGTGACAATTACTCACTGGTGCTTAAGGGGAGTGAATATAGGGGCTATTAGGGGTAAATAGGGGGATGATATAAGGAGTATTGTAGGGATCCACGCCGCCACCCTCCCTCAAGCACCAGTAAGCTTAGCATAGACCAGCGTCGACATCCGATGGCACCGTGAGGGAATTCATGGAATTCTTCTCTGAAGCTGAAGCAACGTCATGCCGTGGAGCCTGCATCACGAGGAAGACTTGAAAATGTCATACTAATAAGAACTGTAATAGTAGCAGCAGTAGTAATAATGGTAGTAGTAGTAGTAGTAGACGCGAAAATACATATTAATAAGAATAGTAATAGTAGCAGCAGTACTCATTGTATCACTATCATGATGAACATTATTGACAATATTAATAACAATTGGAAAACACTGTTCCACAAGTGGCTTGGCGGAACACAAGAATCCCGCAGTGCTTCATGGCACTCCCATGCCTGATTCTGCCATCCTAAACCACCCATCCACATGACACCTCGAACGCTTAACCCACAGCAGAATGGGCTGCTGCCAAGCAATATTACTTGAGTTACCAAAACTAGGAAACCCGATGATGTACCAGATACCCATAACATGGTAACTTTATCTCAATCTTCTTAACAGCAACCCAGATGAGGCAAGAAACTAAGGGAGCTTCCCCGGTCTCATGGCGACGGTGATCCAGAGTATCCTTCGGAATCACCAGGGCGGGGAGTTGCTGTCAGGAGTTTTGACAAGTACGTATATGAATACATACATATATGTACTAAATACATTCAAGAATATGTACAAACATGTGTATGTATAGATCTATTTATGATAGGCTACCCTGCTCCAAGAAGCCACATGGGGGTGTGCCGAAAAGGGGGGTTGTCGCGTTCCGCGCCACAAGCCCTCTGTTTCATACCCCTTGAAACGCCAGCCTGTTACATAC